TAATTAGAAATATAAGTAATTATAGATATAACTTGCCTTAAAGATAAAATATACAGAATATTTTTTTAAATGATTGATTTCAAATCCAATATTTGATAAAAATTGTTCCATTAAATCCAATACTGTAAGATACATTTCTTCTTTTGTCCAATCAGAATTTATAATAAGATGTGTTATTGGATAAAACTAATTTTAAAAAATGATAGCGCATAATATATTGATATGAATATTTTTTATTAACAACAATTATAATATAATTTTTTTTTAATAAAAATGCATTACTTATAACACTTACTTATAATTTAAAATATATTCCTAAATTAATTGCTATTTGATGTAAGCGTTTAGTTAATATGAACACATTAATATGAACCAATTTGGCAATTAATGCACAAAATGTAATAATATTTAATATAAAATTATATTCAATAATTAATTTTGCAATGTTTGCAATTAAATCATAATTGTTTCGTAATAAAAGCATTGATACTATTTTATTTGCAATATTTATAAGTTTTAAAAATATAATGTATATTTAAAAATATATATTCTGAATGTATTTATATAATTCATATTAAATTTATTAATAAATAATATCACTTAATCATATAAAATTATTTTTTTTTACCTATTGGATAAAAATTGCTAAATTGATCTATAATTAAAAAATGAAAAAGAAAAATTGCATAATCTTTCATAAAATGCATTTAATAAAATGATTATTATTTGTATTCTAATAGGATCTTTTACAGTACAATATATTTTCCATTTACTTGAATTAGTATGAGATTAGTTTCTGGAAAGAATATTTCATAAAAATAACTGCAATTAATTATTAGTTTTCATTTTAAATATTATAATAAGAAAATATTTCCTAAATAAGAAAATAGCTTTAAGTAAGGTAAAAACTTTTATAATTCGTTGATTTGCTAAATATATCTCAAAAAAAAGCAGAATAGTTGCAGCATCAATTTTATGCAAATGAATTTTTGCTTGAATTATAAAATTAATATTTTTAAGTATTTTTAATATAAGCTAACATCCAGCTAAATTTTTCTCAGCTAAACGAATCAAAATATGTTTAGCAACATCATATAATATTTGGTATGATATAGCACTTGTCCCAAGTTGAACTGCAAAAAAATATTAAATGAAATCAAGAATATTTTAAAATAAATATTTTAATATATTTTAATGCAATATTTTTCTTTAATTTATTGCAATACAAAAGTTATTTTATATTGGAACTTGAAAAAATATATATAACAAATTATGTCATTGAAATTAAATTTATAGAAATTTAACATTCAGAACTTAAAATAAAATATTATGCTTATATTTTTTTTTACATGAAATCTTATTATTATAATTTAAAAATATATAGTCTAAATATTTAAATAAATTAATTATTCCAATTAAATTCTTTAGAAAATATTATCTATTTTAGTTTGAAAATTCACTTAAAAATATTAACAAATTAAAAATGTATGTCAATTATCATAAATATATTAATTATCTACATAAAAAGACATAATTTTAGCAATTATAATATTTTATTAAATTATTTATTATTTGCATATAATATTCAATGAGTTTATTCAAACAATAATATTTTATTTCATTGCATAATATTTGATAACATGTATGAGTAAAAAATGATTGTTGATCTTTTTTTACTGAATTAAGAATATTCATAACATATTTATAATCATTATGTTTAAGTCTTTCTCGAAGGCTATTGATATAATATTTCCAAAATCTTGTTCTTTCATATGCAAAATATAGTTTTGATAAATCCTCTATAATATATAATGATTAATATATAAAAAAATATATATCAAAAAAAAGTTATTTTATTTACCTATTGAATATAATGTAAAATAATTTTCATTTTTTACATCATTAATACTATTTTGTTTATTTGTTTTCCAAGTCCAATTAAATATTAACTATTTTTGAATATTTATCTATATCTGATGTATCTGATGTAATCTCTGATTCAATTGTAGAAAATTTTACTGAATTAATGCCTGCATCATATTTTAATTATATATTTTTTTCTGGTCTCTTTTTTTTATCAAACTTTTGAAAGATGAGATTCAGTTCCACATTTTCTATAAGTAATAAAATTTTCAGTGAACTCCAACATTTAGCAACTTTAATATATAGTTTTAATATCTTTAAATAATAAAGATATACAGTTTTCCATTTCATTACTTATTTCTTTTTTATTATTTTCTTCATTTAAAAGAAAAGATTGATTCTTTATACACAATTTATTTACTTTTGATACTGTTGGTTCACATAATTGTATATTCTGCAGAAAATCACAATCTTTATTTATTAATATTCCTAGAAATTTGAATTTCTCTTCTAAAGGATTTGGAATATTTTTGTTATTTTCTAATTTTTTATTTATCACACAGATATTTTAATACTACGGAAAATATTATGAATTTTCTTTTTTGGAAATATCATTATTTTTAACTTCTTTTACATTGTAATCAAATATCTTTAGATTTTTATTTAATTTTTTTATATGATTTTTCATTATTTTAATCTTTTTTATATGATTTTTCATTATTTTAATCTTAATTTTCGATAATTTAGTTGATTAATTTCTTTTAGAATCATTATTTGATTTATTTAGAGAAAATATATGTAAATAATTGTTCATATTATCAATGGTTAATGTATTATTTCTATTATTTTTATATTGCAATGGAATATTATGCATTAATGATATATTATTTAATATATCTTTTTGCATTAAACAATTTATTAAAACAATAATTATTTGAACCTAAAACATTTTTAAATTTATTTGAAATATTTTTATTAATTTCGATATCAAATTTGTTACAACATTGTTTAGATTTTTTTTTCTTTAAACGATTCATTTCTATTTCAAAAAAATATTCATTTTTATTTAATCTTTCACGCTTATATTGAAATAAATAATATTTATCAATATAAAAAAAAATATTAAAAAGTAAAAATATTATTACAATGTATTATTTTTTTACAAAAATTTTATGCAATTTTCTGCAATAAGTATATGAATATGTACATAATAAAATATTAAATATAATAATGTTATATTTACTTAATATTGTGATTTTTTTTATTTAAAAACAAATGAATATAAATTATATCTAAGTCTCCATTAATCAAAAACTTCTGATACTTTGCAATTTAATTCACGTGGAAGAGCACATGTATATATTCGAACTTCATTCAGTTCGGATGTCATCGCGAAAATATTTAAAAATGATGATAAAATTGTGAGAATCATAAACATAATCGATATATCGATAATATAAAAAAACTTTTATATAGCTCATAAAATTTTAAAATTTTAAGCAAAATAAATATAATATATAATTGGAAATATTAATTGTTGAAATAATAATTTTTTTATCATTTATTTCTATCTTTCTTCCTTCTTTTTCCATTATTTATTTTTTACTTTACTCAATTTTCATAAATATCAACTGAAGTTAGCAAGTTAAAATATATATATATATATGTATGTATGTATATGTGATGTCAAAACTATAATAATCGTAAATCGATATTTCAATATCATTTGAAACTTCATGTTTTTCTAATGAAATTTATTATTTTGTTTATTACTACATAACTACATACCATTATTGAATAAAATTTTTGCGATTTATTCACAATATTTATTGCGAGTTATTCACAATAAATAAACTGATAAAAAAAATAATTTAAAATATAATATTAATGATTATAAAATTGTCATATTTATAATTAAAAAATAAATTGAAGAAAAAATATATTGTACAATAATATATAATAATAATCACAAAATATGATGTTATGATAACTATTACTTTATCGAAAAAATAAAATTATTCAATTTAACAAAAATATATTAAAAACATTCAAAAAAATAATTATAAAAAAAAATTATAATTAATCATTTTAAGAAATTATTTCGTTTTTTTTAATAAATTACGAACATCTAAATGTTAAATAGAAAAAAAAAATCGGAAATGAATATTTACTTCAATATTTTTTTTCTACCAACATACTATGAGGATTTTTTTTTTTTTTTTGATGTCTTTGACCTAAATAATTGCAGGTTTTTAGATATTTTCAAAATATGAAAAAAAAAACATAATAAAAAAATTATAATTATGAGAATATACGACATTACATATTATAATGCAAATTAAATTATAGAAAATAAATATAATAATATTTTAAATATAAAAACAAAAATATTTTTTTATATAATTATGTAAATGAAATCACAAAATTTTAAAAAATTATGCATGTTATTTTTATAGTTCTATTTTAATGATTTCAATATATTTTCAATATATATGCTACAAATAAAATAGTTAAAATTTATATAATTTTTAAATAAAGATAAAAAATTTTCTTAAATTAAATTTTAGCGAAATTCATATAAATGAAACATCATATTTTGTGATTAGAAATTTGCATTTCAGAGACAAAGACAAATATAAATGTTTTAATTAATTAATATTTAATTTAGCAGGTGAATAATCTCAAAAAAGAAAGATTATAAATAATATTCTTCTTGAAAGTAAATTTTTTAAAACGTGCATTAGAAGATTGGAAATACAATGTATAATATCATATTATTGTATATGTATATACAAATATCATACAATGTAATATCTGAAAATCATTATAATGAAAACTTCATTTGCCAAACACATGCGAATCGCATATTTTCAGAAATTTTTCATTAAATATAATTTTATGATCGATTATTTAATGCAAAAATTAATTTTAACTATTATTCCTATTTTTTTTTAAATTATTTCTTTCTCATTTTATGTATATATTTTATATTATATTTTATATATAATATATTCTTTTGAATATAAAGTTTATATAAAAAAAAAGTATGATGAAGAAAAATAATAAAAATGATCCGCATCTGTAATAAAAATTATTTGAATATCAAAGGAATTTTATATAAAAAAATATATCCAATGTACATATACCTAGTTTCACATACATTATTATTTTAAAAATAGCATGCGAAGAATACAGCAGTCTTTCCACAGAAAAACATCGATTTCTATGCACACAAATTTATAAAATTTTGAGAAACCAATCAGTTTATTTTTTGAGCCTGATATACAGTGTTGTCCAAATTATAAAAAGCCATTTGTTCATCGATCCAATCACGAACAGATGCAACATTAGCATAAACCCCTGGAATTCCACCTTCACCACAACCAATTCCCCATGCTACAATACCTGCTTGTAAGTATATATTAGGGTTATTATTACTTGGACAAACAAGAGGACTTCCTCCATCACCCTAGAAATAGTTAAAAAAAAAAAGAAATTACATTGCTAATATTTTTTTTTTACATTATTAAATTTATAATAAATTCTAGTTACCTTACAAGTATCTTTATCAGACTCTCCACCAGCGCAAATAAAACTATTATCAAGAATAAAATATTTTCCTAATCTAGTTTCTCGAAGTAAATCTTGACATTGATTGTGTGGTACTATTGGTAAATTAATTTTTTTTAAAATTACCTGGTAATGTCCTTCCTTACCTATAAAAAATTAATTTATTAATGCAATAAATTTTTTTATTATTCTAATAAAAAAATATCTAATAAATAAATTTAATAATTAAATCTTTACCAAATTTATCTTTTCCCCAACCACTAGCGAAACATCGAGAACCATCGAATACAGTATTTGGTTCCGGTAGACAAACAAGATCCACGTTCTCCATTAGATTCAAAGGCTCGGATAATATCAAAATAGCAAAATCATTATAAAGAGTGCCGCCAGCAAACTTTTCGTGAACGATTACATTTTGCACATTACGATCCTGATGAGGAAAAATCTCATTCTTAGTTTGCGTATCCCATTCTCCAGCACGAATTCTCAATTCAGACGGTTTTTTTCTATTTGAAAATTATTATGTTTATTTCATTATAAATAATAAAATATAAATCGATAGAAAAATATTTTAAAATATTATCGATTATTCACCCTTGTACACAATGAGCAGCTGTTAAAACAGCTTGTTTGTGAATTAAGGAACCTCCGCATTGATAGACGTTCAATTTTTGATCACCGATATTTTCTTCTTTTATTATAGCCACCATCCACGGAAATTCGCCGAATTGCGCTTCGCCATTCACATCGCCAGTTATTCTAAAACCAACACCCTCAGGATGTCTTTGTCCACAAGTACCTTTCTTCTCAATTGGTGGAGGTGTAACTTTTTCTATTCTATCTGGTGGTTTACAACAGACATCCAAGTAATTCTCGCATTGACCGAGCGCCCTGCATCATTAATAACATTAAAATATTAATAAAATTTCCTTGAATTGCCATTATATGATATAAAAACAAGATATATATATATATTGATTTATGAACAAGAAAAAAATAAAATTATAGTAATCTATAATTTTCATAGAGTTCAAAGATAGTCTCATGCGATATGAATACTTTATTAGATTTAAATAATTATCATTGTGATAATATGAATAAATTTTAAGAATAATAATTCATGTCAATTATTATTCTGAATACTTCGAATATGGATCATCACTGTATTGTCAAATTAAATTATTAAGATAATTCGTATTTCCAAATTCCATTAAAAAAATATTATGAAATAGTAAATGTATTAATATGTTGAAATAATGAATTTCTATAAATTATAAATAAATATAATAAATATGAAACGAATATATTTGTTAAATTATGAATATTCGTATTTGTACATGCAAAATAACTTCGTATCATGTTTGTTTAATAAACTAGAAAAATTAACAGTACATCTTTAATATTAGTAAATTCAACACTATTTTAATCATTATTCGAAATTATGCTAATTTTAACCGTTATGAGACTATTCTTTAGAACTCACCGCAATACGCGATGTTTATTGACTCTTTCATCATCGAAACCGAACCTGATATCAATAATTCCTGTTCCATTCTGCAAGATAGAACCATTGTGACACAGATAATATGGTACACATTCACAATCCATTTCTGGTTGCTTTGGCCTATTCTCTGTGCCTAAAATTGTCGTCGATGTAGTAGAACTAGGATTCGAAGTCTGCTGATCTTGAGGAGTTCCAAATATATTTGTTATTAAGGAATCCAAATTGTTTTGAGGCGCAGCTATAGAAAAGCTAGCCATCGCCAATATCGATAATATTTTCCACATTGCGATTTTTAAAATCCTGAAACACATTATTTTTCAAATTACTTAAGTAAACGTTTCAAGAGACTAAAGTATAAAGGTTTTTACATGTAAGCATATAGTATTAGTATATGAATCATCGATTAAATAGTATCAATAACCAGACCTTTTTAAGAATGAACAGGTATTTGAAGGACAAAAGTTTTACCACTTTTGATTTAGTTGTCTCAAGATTTCAGGTAACATGCATTTAATACATTTTTGGAATTATTGTACATTTCACCATTTTACTTATGTTTTTCAAGTCGACTGTTATATTTTTTTAGTTCGCTCATTTTTTTGAAAATATTAAGAATTAAGAAACATTAATAAAATAGAGAAGATTCGATATTTTTTTTTAATTTATTATAGATACTATTTGTTATATATAAAATTGAAAGTAAAATAAGAGAGATAATTATTTACATATTATTCGTTCTTATACTATTCTGATTTGATTTGTGGATATGAAACTTTCAGCCAATACGCGTGCTACTTTTTATTACGTTTATTCTATCGGAAATAAGCAATTAAATCAAAATACTTATTACAATTATCTTTTTATGCACAGTAGTTTTCTTAGTACAATATTTAAGTTCATTCAAATTGGTTCTAATTGATATCATTTTCATTAAAAAAATTTCAAAAATTTATTTACATTAGTTTCATAATTATAAAGTAAAAAATATAAAAATTGTAGTTTATTCATAATTAAAAATATTTTTAAATTTTAATCAATTTTAAAAATTAAAAATATAAAGTGAAAATAACTTTATATTTATTAAACAAGAAATATTATAAGTACTTATTTAATCGATCGATAATAATTTTAAGAAAAGAATTTTTCTATATATATATGTTGTATATACACTATATCAAACTAGCAGAATATTTTTATGGAAGAAAACCTGTTGATTCAGTTTCAATAATTCCATTAAAGAACAAAAGTCTTTTCATTATATAAATTGTATAAATTCGAATAGATGATAATAGAATTAATATGTATTTTAATAAATACCTTTGTCTAGAAAATTGTGTTCATCATTAAAAATTATCAACTAGTTGTAATTTATTTCATTTGAATTATAAATAAGAATGATTTCACGATTTCGATATGAATTTTCATCTTCATAAAGGATAAACAAGAATACGATACACGTTTTGTATAAACTTATGAAAGATGTCCAATTATTAACATGACTCATTACTCGTTTCTTATGCTAATTCTGCGTAATGTTTTCAAGATATTCACATGTTAATTGTTCATTGTCAATGTCATTATAAACATTTATCTTAATTAAAGACAAGCAAGAAAAATAATTGTTTAAATAATGTTAATTTAAAAAAATTTATATTTAAAACCAATAATAATTATATTTTATGCCAATGGAATATTCAAAAAAAAAATTGAGAATGCATATGAAATATATGATTCAATAAATACTAGAATTTTCCTGTTTAGATTTAGATTTCCCAAGAATTATCGAAATTGTTTAAAAAACATGTAAAAAAAATTAGATAAAATAAGCAAAATATATTATGAAAGAAATAATGAAAATAATCATATTGTAAACACCTTAAAAAATTATTACAAACATCATTCTTAATCATAAATTATATAAGAAATGATTGACTTTGACCTTTTTTATGATAGTTAATCATAATATATATATCAATATGATATTATAATAAAATATTTTTTAATTTCGTATAAATATAAAAAAACGAATTAATAAAGAAAGACATAAAAAATGAATATAAAAAAAAACAGTAATATTTATAAAATTGATCATTTAAGAATAATAATAAATTTATAATAAATATAATAAATATATTTATTTATAATAAATATAATATAAATTTAATATTTGTTTATAATATATATAATATAATTATAAAGACTAAAATGCTAATAATATAAAATAATATAAAAATAATATAAAAATGCTAATAATATTGTTAAAATTCAATTCTAAGAATCAATAAAATAATTTAGATTAATTTTTCAATAAATATTTTTCTCATACTTTTTTATATAATTTGATATAATCTATATCTTTTTAGTTTATAATTGATAATAGATTATAATCGATTTTTTTACGTAGTAATGATAAACTCATATTATTATTAATTATTTAATTTTATAATAAAATTTTTTAATAGATATACAATTATTACATATATATAAAAAACATAAAGTACTTACGATAATCTTAAATATCAAAAATTGAATTTTTCTCTTCAAAGAACAATGAACAAGTGCGATGTGTCGAACGTTCGAACCGCAATTTCTCCGTTTACATATACAGCAGCCAAGCTTCGAGCATATATATATAAGAATTACCCCCTCCAGTTCATGATTTCATGATCTTGTCCTATAGTAAATGTTTGTATATATTCATATATACTTATATATTACGTTACGCTGAAACCATTGAATACTGAATTATCTTATTGGTCAAGGTAGTATTTAGATGGTATTTCCCATGCCATCATGCAATTATAATATTGATATAGATTTCTTAGAATTTTTCTCGAAATTATCACAATTTTTTTTTTATTGACGTCATAACTTATGAAATTTTTAATAGTTTAATAATAAAGATTTAAATTAATAAAAATTTTTTAATATATTTTTTTATTTACTATATATTACGTATGTATGTATTATGTATATATTATGTATGTATCTATTTCATGCAAATCTAAAATTATTTCAATGGATGATTTATATATTTATTGATGAAAAGCCAAAAAAATCAATAACTTTCTATTTATATTTTCTTTTTTTATTAAAGATTTAAGTTTTCAACGTTTAACTTCAATCTATTCCTGCTAAACGTGTTTGGCATTTAATGTATTCTTGGAATTTATCTTTTTTTTTTTTACATTAAGGTTAAATACCTATATTCTTTGTCGGATTTGATTTTATTTCTTAGAATTATTTCAAAATTATTATAAAATTAGAAAATAATAATGAAATTATTTTAGTTATTTTAAATTTATTTTTTTTTTTATTATTTTCAATTTTTTATTTATAAAAAAGATCTGAATTATATTGCTCTATTTATTTTATATCAAATGTTGTAACTATAATAGATGATATCAATATAATAATTTAGATGAACTTTAAAAAAAAGTCATAACAATGTATTTCCATTAATGATATTAAATGCAGATTTTACGATTATATTATAATATAGTATATAATGCATACATGTTGTCGATAATAGATGAGCAAACTAGTAATAAAATACTAGTAAAATATTTTCACAGATTAAGTATAAAATAGATCCTGAAATTCAATGCATTCTTTCATGCTTGGTCCATTAAGCCCATTTTAATCTCATTTTCAAAGTTATCAACATTATTCGGCTAAAAATAAGATTACAATAATGTTAATAATTAAAATTGAAATTAAATTTCAATATAAAAAACAGACAAGAAATATAAATATAAAACATATGATCGATTACAAAATATTTTGTAATATACTGTCTTATAGTATTAACATATACTGTTTTGCAAAGCAGAAAATATATCTATTTTTTAGATATTAAAGATTAAGACATTGTAAATTTGAAAGAGAAATGATGCATTTATATCCAATTAACATTTTATATCGTATCTCATGGTCATGCACCAATAGTAAATATAGACAAAGAAAGCAAATAGTTAAAGAATAGAGATAGCACAAAAATTTATAGAATCAATGGCGCCATCTTTAGAGTGCCTTAGATGAAACATGAATATAAACATGAATAGATAAGAAAAGCAAATAATAAAAAAGAATAAAATAGGCTTAGAATTAAACAATAACGCCATCTCTTGGGTATCAAAGATAGAATAAAGTAGAATAAGAATTAACTATCAGCGCCATCTCTTAAATATTTTTAAAAAAATATTTTGATACTCAAGAGATGGCGCTAAGAAACTCAATTTTTATTTTAATTTTATTCTACTAAGTACTAAGTATAATAGTACAAAAAATAAAATAAATCTTGCAGTATAGACAAATTGCAATATAGAAAAGAATAAATATAAGATAAAAACTGACTATTAATGCTATCTTTTTATTATTTTCTTTAAAGATAATATATATATTGAATAATTTTGATTACATATATTAATAATATATATTGATAATTGTTTAATTTTCGTAGTTCAATATTTTTTTGTAAATTATAGCGAGATATATTAACTTTAATTAATAGCAAAAAAATGATAACTTTTAATTTAAGAGATAAATATAGATAAAATAAAGATTTCTAAAATTAAATTGTTGAAAAAATGACAAAGTCCAAAAAAATAGCAACTGCAACAAGTAAATATATAAAGGTAAAATATAAAAAACATTTCACATATATATAATATATATAATATCATAAAAATTTAAATATTTAGAAAAATTTCGTGTTTATTTCTTTTTTGATTATATTTTCTTAATATAGAATCAAAAATTTAGTCAAAAAATTTTATATTAGAAAATATAATTCTATAAAATAAAAATTATCATCTGAATACGAAATATTAATTGGAAAAACTTTTATTTTTTTTTCTTATTACATTGTTTTAATTTTTACTTTAAAGATATTATTATTTTCAACTTTATAATATATTTCTAAGAAAATAACTTCACAAAATATAATTTATAGTATTAGAAAATAGAAAATAGTTTGTAATTTATTTATTATAATATTATAAACAAATTATATTTATTCTGAATTTTAAATTGAGAAAATAATTTAGGATGGACCACAATAGAAAAAATAATTTAAAAATAATAATAGCTATCATGAAAATAATTTTATATATTATACCTTTCCTAGAACAGTTCTAAATTTAATAATTAAAATATAATTATTTTTTATAGATTTATTAAAAACAATTGTTTTCCATTATTTATTTATTTCGTTTGTTTTATAATAATCATATATAATTTTATCTGAAAATGCATCAAAATATATATAATAAAAAAACAAAAAAGACTAGATAAAGACTTGTAAAATACATTAAATTTTTTTATCACGCCCCATAAGTTGCCAACTGTTGATTGATCCATTCTGTGAATTGTGCTACATTCGTATAAACAGCAGGTAAATTCGACGATCCACAACCAATTCCCCAAGATACTATACCAGCCTAGAAAAAAGAAAGTCTCTCAATGCCATTGCTTTTTCTTTTTTTTAGCAACATCTGTAATCCATACTACTATTTGCAATAAATCAATACCTGAAAGTATTGTCCCGTAGCTGTGGGACATACCAGAGGTCCACCACCATCTCCTTGACACGTGTCCCTATTTGTCTCGCCCCCTGCGCAAATGAACGAACTATGTAGTTGAAAATATGGTCCCAATTTTGATGTTCGAAGCCGATTTTGACAATCAATTTTATCCACAATTGGAACCTCCACTTTTCGTAGTTCAGATTGATATGTTCCACCTGCATTTAACATTATAAAAATTTTAATTAGTAATATTAAGTTATAGAATAGATTTATCATTTAAATACATTTTTTGAGTCTAATTACCATTCTTATGTTACATGTGATAGCATCAATATAGCAAAAAATAAAAAATATCTAAGTATGTATAAATGATTATCTTAAGTAAATATATAAATTGATACAAAATTTTTTTTTGTCGTAAATTATAAAAAAATTTTTCTCAAATTATATTCTCTTGAATAAAACAAAATTGACTAGATTTTATTTAAATACTAAATTAAAATCGTAATTAAAATCATAGAAAGTATATCAAAATACTGATTTTTTGCGCGATCGATATTTCAAAATATCAAGTATAAAGTTTTATAAAATTATAAAGTTTTATAAATCTGTAACAAAATTATGCTAATAAATTTAAAAAAAAAAATATATAAATATAATAATAATTACCGAATGAGTTTTTTCCCCAACCTGTGCCAATGCACCTAATACCAGGAGGAAATATCAATCCTTGTTGCGGTATACAAATAGGAACAATATTTACATTCTGTTTTACCGGTGCGTTTAAAATGACTACTGCTATGTCATTAAACAAAGCAGCATTATAAAACTGAGGATGCGTTACTATAACTTTTATGTTCGCTTCTTGAAAAGGCACTGGTTGATCGCCAGGTTGATATTTTAAATCCCACTGACCAAAACGCGCTATCGGTCTATTGCTTCCTAAACTAATAAATTTTTAAAAAATTTTTTATCGTTGATTTTAATTTTCAATAATTAAATTCATATATTTTATTACAAAATTAGCATAATTTGCTTACTTGGTAACACAATGCGCAGCTGTAAGAATAGCACTATTTGTAATCATAGATCCTCCACATTGAAATAAATATTTACCGTCCGATTGTATTGTTAGTAAAGCCACCATCCACGGAAACTCTGCGAAATATGTTTTTCCAGTATCTACAGGATAAGGTTGGACTGTGAATAAAAGAAAATAACTAGTTGTATAAAATAGAATTTTCTTTACAGTATATTCAGTACACGAGTTAATATATTCATTTTTGGAAAATTGATTCTAGAAATCGAAAAAAATATAAATAATATACAAAAATATTAATTGATGATTATTTATTAAATTATTAAGGTACTTTGCTTTAAATGAAATGAGACAGAAACAATATGACAAAAATAGAATTATCTCATTTTATCTTTCTCTTTTTTCAGTTAAATTTATTATTAACTACTTAATTATTTAAATTATTCACTGCTATACGATATAATTTATTAATACGAATAATTAATACGAATAAATTGTAAATTAAAAATAAAAGATAGGTTATTTAACTATTATTATAAAAGAGGGATTCAAAAAAGTATTAATAATCTAATATCTACCTGTCGCATATGTTTTGTTTTGTATACCACATCCAATTTGCGAAAATGAAGCTTCCCCATTTATTATATTCTCTCTTGATCCTTGCAAGTCACGATTTCTTGCTGCATTAATAGCAACAGGTCGACAACAAACTTCATCCGCAATTCCACACGCAGAGAACCTCGGATCAATGACACCAGCGCCATCGAAACTAACAGAGTTTCCCGGTGAGCACAGCCAGCTCTTCATGCAATAACAAGCCTGAGAGGTTCCTGGATTTCTAATGGACCCGATAACCACTGGAATCCCATTCCCATACGATGGATTTATTCCTTGACAGCAAGAGGTAGGTACAGGACACGTCTGTTGTCCATAAGTCACTAGAGGATTCACGCTTCCAATATTTATAGGGATCATAATGCCATTGCTACACTGGATTACACTTCCACATAAAAGACAAATTTGTGACGAGGCAAGCGGAGGATATGAATATTGGATTACACTGGTTGGTTTACAACAGACCATATTGCTAATGGGACACCGTATATATTGCGAACGAGGATTGATCACACCTTCTCCGGACGTGCCAATGATACCATTTGGATCGCATTGAGTCACAACCACACAAACACAAATTGGAGCAGCTGGTAATTCTGTGTTAGTTGGAAAAATCACCGGTGGAAGAGTCGAAGTGGTTGTTGCCTTTGTAGTGGTAGTTGGTGCTTTCGTGGTAGTTGGTGCTTTTGTAGTGGTGGTAGTTCGCATAGTTGTAGTAGTGACTGTAATATTTGATGGACGACAACATATTTCTAAATCTCCTGTGCATCTCCGATATCTGTTTTGAAATCAAAAGTGATTGACAATCAAAAGTTCGTAATAAAAGACTCTTGTCAATTTTCATTCTTTTTAAAATGAAAAATTAAAAAAATATTTTGACATCTTTAATTTTTCTATCTTTAAATTTTAATGAGATATCGATAAAATAATTAGTTTATACTTATTTACTATTTATACTTTAAATAAAAAAATTTGTGATTTAATCGGACAGATCGTTCTTGTTATTAATATTTTTATTGAAATAAAAAAACTCACCGAATATCGATTGTTCCAATGCCATCCCCAATTATGGTACGATTAGCATCGCAAAGATAATAGGGTACACAAATGCAATCCGCAGTAGGTGGTGTAGTCGGCACTTGTTCTATTTTGTTAATCTTTTTTTTTAATTTAAGTAAATGAAACAAAAATAAAGAAGGCGATTCCTTATGAAATGAATTGTCTAACGTTCTCACTATGTTTTTATTTGACTCGTTTAATGCTTTTGAAATCATTAATAGAATCGTGATAGCGTATGCCAATGTAAAGAGTCGCAACATGGCTTGTTTCCTATTCGCCGGCTCGTTTCCTAGTGAACGATTTTTAACACCAGTCAACGTTTTTATGTATACAGGATGCATCGATATTTCCTAACCCATGGAGAATATATAGATTCATACAAGGCTAATAGATATTTTATATGGATCATTGTCAATTTTTTAACACAATGATGGTATTATGATTTATCCACCAAGCCAAAGATGTAACCAGATAAAATTAATGTTTCCGCACACGTCGTTCATCACAACAAAATATTTTTTTCTAAAGGGATTATTGTATATTTAATCAAGGACTTTTTGACACGCTAGATTCTTTTACAATAAAATGTATTTAAACGATTATTCGCACAACTCGTAACGAATACAATGAATGACCTATTTACCTAACAAACCATTGATGAACGTTAAGTTACCGGTATAAAATATTGTCCATATTCACGACTAGATGCGCGATTGCGATATAAATAAAGTGCATTTACGTTATGTTGAACGATCAATAAATTACTTGCATGTAATATGGATCTAAAAAATTAAATTTGAAATGTAATATCGAATTAAAAAAGAAAAAGATCGTTTCAACTTTCTTCGAGATAGCAAACATAGAATTTGTTGACTATCGATAAGATTGATCACTTTTATCGTTAGAAAAAAAGATTTGTGTTTGTCGATGCGTGTACCATAAAATGTGAACAGTTTCCATGAAATCCATTGTCATACAACAGTTGATAGTTTACTTGTAAAATATATTCTTTTTTCATTTTTTACTCGCGGTGATTATATGTATCTCTATGTCATTTTTTCTGGGCTTGGATTATGACTAAAATAGATAGACTAAAAAGGAAAAAAAGCAGGAAACGTTCACTTGTACTATCTTTTTAGTGCAAAGCGCGTTTTAATGATGGCAACTGACAGAAATGTAGAAAAAGAAAGTTATAAAATTTATTTTTGTTTTAATACTTAATAAAAACAAATTTTATACTAAGAACAATACAGTTAAATTAAATAAACCTTGATTCTTTACTTAACAGATTTAATTTTTTTAAAAAAGATTCTTGTTTTTTTTTTTACTTTTCAATTACTTTAAAATAAAAAAAGTATACTTGTTTGAATTGCAGTATTCTTTTATAAACATTATTTCTTTTATAAATCATGATACAAATTATCAGACTACATACACTTAAATAATGACACGCCGATAACATAATATTAATAATAATATGATATAATATAATATAATATAATATAATAATAGTAATAATACAAATAACATTAATAATAAGAAAAATAATTAGATACAAATATGACGGTGGTACGCAAAAATGTACTCTAAAATTACAATGCAAAAATGGCGAACGAATCATAGTAAAATATCAAAATCAAAGTAAAATATAAATATTCACTTTTGATTCGCATAAATTCAAAAAATAAACAAATCATTCATATGTTATTATTTTATCATCAACAAATTAGAGGAATTGATATCTTTTCTTTTTTTTTTTTTTTTATTCGAAGATTTGTGAAGATTTATACCATTCGATCGGCTCGCCATTACAATGTGCTCAATAAAGGACAGAACATGCGACGAAAGAATAATCGCGTGGAAATTAACATTTGTACAATTCTGGTTGAATCATCGAGGGGGGTATATGTTAGATGATGAACGAAATCGTGAACAAATAAAGAATACTACCAGCGTAATAAACGTCGAAATTAGCTACCTCTTGTACGGCTGTGACTCTACTCTAGCTGCTATTATTACGTTATCACCTGCCACTCATAATCATAAGTCACACTGGCATCAGATTACGGTAACGTCATCTCGCGTTTTATTGTGAATCATCTTTTATACGAGTGACGCTGGCAACAGCAATCGCAAGATGGTTTCTTTCTTAATTATTCCTGTTATAATTTTTTCTTTTTACGTATATATATATATGTAAAAAAAAAAAAAAAAAAATTATCAGTCACGTGAAGAGAAATTTCGTCTGTCTGTGCTGGCATTTTAATGATCTTAATATTAATATTCTCTTTGGACTGTTTGTAATGTATCACTTTTGAACGATAATACTTAATTACAACTATCAACTATAATATATAAATATTAGAAATACAATATCTTTATAAACAATTCATATTTTGTGGTATAAGAAATACTATATATATATATATGTATATATATATATATATATATACTATATAGAAATATTAATTTTCATTTCTTCGTTGCATTAATAAACTACTTCACATTGATAAACTCAACATAAAAAAAAAAAATAAAATAAAATAAAAAGAAATAAAAAAAATAACGTAAGTATCGTTGTAAATCTTTAGATATTTGTTCTAAAATCAAAAAAGAAAGACAACGATGATATGCGAACTATCGTTTGATTTCGCAATCGGAACAACTTGTTAAATACTATGAGTCTTTTTCTCCTTACGCACAGTCAATAATATATCATGTACAAATATTCGAGTGCAATTAACTTGACAGTCAAATGTATTGACGTGTCTTGGAGAATATATTGTCATTCTTATTCTATACGTAATAATATCCTAACACGTAAACTATTAATTATTATATAATAGGAACATATCCGTAAAAGAATATAATAATATATAATTATAATCAATGTACACATATTTATGAATTGTCTTACTCGGTTCAATATAAATTTTTTGAAATTACAAATTAAAGTTATACATTTTATAAGAATTCGGTTAAAGAAATACGTATATACTTGAGCAAACACTAAAAAGGACAGAATGATCGTTCTTCCATTCTTTTTAACATGCATAGACAAAACCTTAGCAAGTCATTCGAAATGATATTAAATTGCACAAAATAATAGTAACTCGATTTCAAGACTGCCCAGGAAGTTATATCTCTTTAGACATAATCTATAATATATATCATATGCTTCTGCATACAACAAAGTAACTGTTAGATTACAAGTTGCAAAATCAGCCAATTTTCTAAGAAACAACTATTCTGTCGGTTTAAATATTAATATTAAATAATAATATTTAAGTAATATTAAATTTCAATTCAAAATCCCTGAAAAATTGCCCAAACTTCATTAAATTTAACTAGAATTCAAAACTAGCTTAAACCTAGTTACAAAAATTGTCACTAATTACAAAAATATATAAACACAAAAAAGGAATTACAAAGAAACTTTGATTATCCGAACATTGTTTAAAAGATATAATGAAAATTGATTAATAAATACAAAATAAAAAAAAAATAAATTTCGTATATTTATTTTGAAAATATTTATACTTATATATTTATTTTAGGATTATAAATTAAACGGCATTAAAAGTAATTAATTTCATTACGTTATTTTCATTTGATAATATTTTCCGAAATTTGTTTTCTTTAAATTATTAAAACAAACCTTTTTTAATTAGTTCGAATAATCAACATTCAACCGTACTCAGACTAATATATAAAAAATATATTAAATGATTCCCTAACTTAAATCGAAATTTCAAAATCAAAATCAATATAATGAAATCAATATATTTACGCGCTCGTCTATCCATGTTAAATATATAAATATTTTACATTCGTTGTTTAATTCGACTCATGTGTTATGTATTCTGAAAAAGATCGATAAACCAAGAAACAAAAAAAAGCTTTCTCCGCCTGGAAAGAGCCAAGAATCCGGCCATCAGCTATCGAAGTACCAAAAAACAAAAGAACGTAAACACTACAGCTAGTATATATACTTCGTCTATACACTATACTTATACTTCGTATAATACTTAGTATTATCCTTCGTTTCGGTTTGACCTTCGTTGAAGCTTATGGTCAGATTCACAGGAACGAGAAAGGCTTCCTTTGGTTTCAAAATAATTATGCATCCAGAATTGTATCCAGAAATCGTACCTGATTCTATTCTTCAATTATTGCTCGAAAATAACGAGTATCATAGAGTCCGATAAATTAAAAGTGGAACGAGCTTCGTAAACTTCTCTATGAAAGATGTCACGTAAATGGTAATATACATACAATTAGAAAAAAATTAATTTTATGTGCAAAAATAAATTGAGAATACAAAATAAAATTTTGTTATTTAAGATTTTTTGAATAAATTAAAATTGAAAATTTGTCAAATATATGTGTGAATTTGGATAATTTTCAATTATATAATAATTAATTATCAATTATATAATGGATAAGAGTTTACACTACATATGTAAAAATAAATAAAAATGCAGAATAAAATTTTTTTTGTTTAAATTCCCATTTAAGAATACATACTAATTATAATAATCTAAACACTTTGGTTAATAAAGTATATTATTCAATTAAGAATTAGCCAAATTCACATATTAGTATTTGATAAATTTTCAATTGATATTTTTGAAAATAAAGCCTCAAACGAATGAATTCGTTTCATTTTAATATTAACTAATCTATTCTAATATAGATATTTTCAACTTATTTTTATAAGTAAAAAAATTTTCCTTTGCCCTTTCCTTCCCTATAGTATATACCATCAGTTAGGACATTCTATACATCATACTTAATGCTGTCAAATGATTAAGTATAAACTTTAAAAGGAACTATATCTCATTGGTCCATCGTCGACTTTTTAAGAAAAGCCTAAGTATCTTAAAAAGAAAAATCTTTTCTTCTATGACTTTTAATAAACATTAGTAATGTACAAACGCAATCTCTATGTTACATATTTTGTATAGATAAATAAAACTGCGTAAATGTTTTTAATTTCAAATATCGTCTAATATTTTTTTTTTTTAAACTTAATTAAACGTAGTACTCTGTCCATTAACGTGTCTCGATAAAAAAATTTTTTGTTGAAAACTATTAAGATTGAAAAACGTGATTTTCTTTGTTAAATGATTTATAAAAAATCAATTGTATTTGTAATCACAAACAACATGGATTTTTTAATATTCATGACTGTCGTATAAAAAGTCTTGAAGAGTCTTATTAACATTATCACAGTATTTGTTTGTAAAGTTTCAATCTTTTTTAAAGTCGTTTTCACATGACGAACATTTGTCGACAATCTTAAGAAAAATATGAATATTTATCAATGTTATGTCAATGCATGTAAATGTATGTAATTATAAAAATGTATGAAATTAAAAAAAAAAAAAAGTTGAAATTATCATAATATTGATGACTTGAAAAGATGATAAAAATATTAATTTATAAATAAATCTTTTTCGTAATCGCAAAGGAAACTTTATAGAAAAATGACACGTTTGACGAGAGTATATGGCACCGTTTTGTATAAATAATTTCTTATGACTAAAATGTCTTTGGATACAGCCTCTTGATTATCTAAACTCTAGACGATTCATATTACGATTCGAATAATAATCTTTTTCATAGTTTGCCTCCGAGCTTCAGTGATTTACTTTATATTTCTTTTTCACTAAATATCGTATTGTCCAAACCGAAATAAATAAATGATGTAAGAACAGAAAATAAAGACAAAGTAAATGAAATGTAGAATAAACTGTTTTCTCTTTTGCTTAATCGATAAGATGAATTTCGTAAGATCCAATGGCAACCGAGCAACGAATGGTAACATTGTTTCGAGAAATCGTTACTAGGAATTTAATGTACATTCCTGTAAGGCACTTTGGTTCGTTTATATTTGAAAAGATGCGACGACGGTAAAATTACCTGCCAGCAGATGATACCGAAACGCTCGCGAGAGTTGTTAAGGATGGAGGCACCACTTCTTCGAAATCCTTGAAAAGAAGATATACTTTTGATGTTTTATGGCACAAGAATGGTGACACGTGCTCGAGTGCCACGGTATTTTATTTGACGCGTCGTTTGCCCATAGAGTTTCTCAATAGTTTGAACGCATTTACTGTTGCCAATGTACCAGGGTTTTTGGTGCCTTTTGGACAATACTTGACGGTATGAGCTATGTCTCCACACGCACCGCAAATTGGACATGTATAAGCCCTAACGATTCACAAAAAAAATGATATGAGAAAAACAATTTGTAGCTTTCTCAAAAAAAGTTTTTTTTTTTTCAACCTTCCATAATATTTTTTCTTCTCTTTTTTTTTTTTTTTACTAGCAAAGTAATGATCTTGACTTTATTTTGTTTATTCTAAATCTGTTCATTATTCAAATTTTTAAAATTGTTTTGAATAAATGCGTTAAATGTTTAGTCGATAACAAACAAATAATCGGCGAAGTATTAAGTGAAATTTTGCTCGTGTTCAAATGCATTCAAAGATACTACGGAAGATTATAAGAAAAAAGATCGAAGGTTAGGAAAAAAAGTTACCTTAAAACTGGACAGGACACGCGACCATCAGCATCTTTCAGCAAGTGTTTACGGTAATAAGCCTCCTCTTCGCCATTATTTCTACAGAAAACGCATTCTGTAGGCAAAGGTTTCTTATTTTTCTTGCGGCGTGGTGTCGTTTCTGGCATTGTAACATTGTCCAGATCTGGACAATATTCAAAATCACGTCCATTATGACGGAACTCCTCCATTACATCTTCGACTATAATTGTCAAATTGTTATGTGTATTGTATTCCGTCAAAGAACATAAAAAATGTAAAAAATAAAATACAAAGAATAAATAAAAAGCTAATTTTACGCTTAAGATCGGGTAAAAAAAAATATATATGTAGAAAGTATATATAATCTTAGAAAGTTTTCGAAGATGATCGAAAAATGATCGAAAAAAAGAAATATTTAATAACAGATAAAATTTGCGATCTGTATATTTTTGTTGTGAATTTAATGCGATACATCGTAAGTCGAGAAAATAACGTCCGTAGGTGTTGGGTTTCACGGTTTGTAAACATTGTCGTCCTAATTTTTCGAATGACGCAGAAACGATATTGTCGTTTAATCGAAAATATATAATATTTGTAACAAGTATTATTGTTGTCAACGTTTAAAAGCCATCAGAAAGTTACAAAAAGCTAACGTTCATTTAGCGTTTGTATTTTCATCTCAAATATTGTGTATGTGTTGATATGTAATGAAATAGCCTGCCATCTTTGAACTCCTTTGAATCCTAAATCGAATGTTTCAAGCAAAAAAGCACGCGATCTTCTGTTTACGTTTATACAATCTTAAACATCTGTATCACCCAGCAGACAAGAACGATCACTTGTAATCTTTTTTTTTTCTTTTGTCTTTTTCCCTCGAAAAAGCAAATGGTCGACAGACCATTATGTTTATGAAACACTGAAATTATTAAGTAATACCAATATATTAGTTTTTTTTACGTAATTCAATGAATTCGATCGAATAAACGTTTCTAGGAATCTCTTGAACAACGTGTTATTCAGCGGAACGTTTTAGAATACAGAATTCCTCTTATCGATTCGTTTGTTTACAAACTAAGGAAAGTATCTACTAATCGGAACGCGAGTTTATCACGCATAATGAATCATGATCAGAACGCACGATTTTAAATCGAAATACATTACAACGCGATAGTGACATTTTAAATTGAGAAAAAAAAAAAAAATAAGCGGATATCTATTCAAAAATATCAATTTTGACATATTTATAATTATGCGAATTGGAATGTATGTGAATAAGAATGTATCATGAGCAGATTAATGAGAAACGATTTCTTCTTTTAATCGAAACAAATGATCATCGATGACAGTTTATCCTAAGTTATGAGGAATCCATGATGAGAAAACGATTATTATATAAAAATTATTTACATTATTTTGTATTTGATTTAAATTATTTATGTAAAAAGAAAAGATATTAATAAAAAATTTATATCATGATGTAGAAATTAAAATTCATTGCGATATAAATTATAATAGAAATATAGGTTAACGTGAAGCAAAAAAAAAAAAAAAAAAAAAAAAAA